GAGGCAGGGACCCTAATTCCCACAAATCACGGGGCTGCAACTCTAGGGCTTTGAGACTCCTTTTCCCAGGGGAGAGCGGAAGGCAAAAGTGATGATGTACGCCTGCGCGGAGTGGTTTTTGTGGGTTGAACTACAGTTCCCAGAAGCCTCCGCGGGGATACTGACTGACGATTGGGTCAAGCGGGAAGCAGAGATGCAGTCGGTTACAGTGGAGACTGCTTGTGTCTCGCCGTTAAACACGGTCCAGGATGTTGCTATCTCTGGGGAACTCGACCCCGCAACCTGCGACTAAAGCCTGCAGGAACTGCGTAGGTGGGCCGAGCAGCAGGGAACGTGCTGGAAAGACTCAGGATTGTGCTCTCGACAGGCGCTTCGGTCGGTGCAGCGACCAGGCAGGGGCTCACGGTCGCCCCTCAGTGCAGCGCAGGTGGCTGTAGTGGGGCGTCTGACTGTCCCCAGATACTGGGAGATGAGAGGTGGAAGGGACAGGAGCGAAGACCCTGGAGGTCTTCTCTGGGACCGCTGGGTGGAGCCGGCGAGGATGGGGTGATAAACCAGAGCCTCCTCCTAGAGTCATTTAGTTGCCTTTGAATTCATAGTAAGTATTCATGGAGCAACTTTATAGTTAGCAAAATAGTAAAACATTACATTTAAAATCCGACTTGAGGATTGGCACTTCAGGGACTGCTGGACACCCTTTAGCATGCAATGTCAGTGACTATCCGGTACTTAAAAGGTGTCCTTCTCTCACTTAGGGAGCACACAGGTGCCAGGCACTGCGCGCAGAAGCTGGAGAAACAGTGAACGCTGCACTGGAGGGTTGGTTTGACTAGAGATGGTGGTCCATCAAACAGAAAATATTCATCAGGGGGTGACAAGACAGTAAAGTTGTGTTAGTGAGTTACAGACAGAACAGGGGTGGGGATATTTGGGAGATTTTACTTTCTTGGGAAGAGCTGCCTACAAAAAAGCTGGCTTGGTGTATTTGATGCTTAGCAAGACTAGCGTCATCGCCAGTGGAAAGGAAAGAAAACAGCTCAAGATGAGAGTGTGTGCGACCCTGAGGTCTTCATAGTCTAGCTGTGGTAGGAACATAGGATTCATTTTGTGTGATAGGAAAGAACTGGAAGTTTGAAGTGGACAGACCAGCATATCTGTATAGACTGGCCAGTTCTGAGGACAGAATCAGGGTGACAGCTAGGGATGGTGGTAGCAAAGGGATATGGCATCTGCCAGCTTGATTTCTAGCATTGAAAAGATAATCAAAACTCACCCAAAATATCAGCAAAATAAACAAATGAAAAGCCCAGACCATTGTGTGGTTGAGGGGGAGAAAGGACATTAGATCTGGAGGCTTCTGCAACATGAAGTGTGTGGCATAGCCTCCTTCCCTTCTGAAGGGACTCTGGCCAGCTTGAGCATGGTGAGCACGTTTCTGGCAGGCCTTGCCCTTCTCCCCAATTCCCTCTGCCTCGCTAAAAACTGTTAGATTGCATTCCTAAAGCTAGCCACCAAGATCTATTCCCCTATTTGGCCTCTTCCTCCTTCTGAGGAGGTCCAGCTATCAAAGTATTGAAGTACAGCAATCAGAAGCCCCCTTTGGCTCACCTAATTAATACACCCAATTAAAAGTAAACACTTCATTCTAACACAGGGGTTCCCATTTTACCTTTATAAACCTTTATAAATTTGCCTATGGGCCACGCCTGTCTCCTCTTTATCTAGATACACTCATTCCTTTGCCTCTCCAGGACAAATACTCCTGTCCCCTTTTCCTTGTCTCCTTTCTAAAGTTGAACGCAAAGTGGAGTCAGATCTAGATTGATAACAGGTAGTTTATTAAGTAATAGTACTCACAAAAGTCCACTCAGCCAGGTGGCAGGGAGAGAGAGAAAGGGCCCGAGTTCAAGCCTCTAAACTACTTAAACCTTTCCCACATCACTCTGACCAGGCCCAAGCCGACATTACCCGTGTCCAGCCCCCAAGTGGGCGTGGCCAGCATTACCTTAAACAGGATCTCCCCCTACACCTTCCCCTTCTCACTCATCCTCTGTCTCCTGTGTTTATCTCTTATTCCCTGCCTTGTCCCTCTGGAACAAATCTTTGTGCTGACAGCTTTGTCTTGGGCGTCCTGAGTCAATATGTTTCATTTCAACTTCCTCTAAGACATTTGCTTTGAGAGCCTAATGGTTCTCCTCGATGATTGTGGGTTCTGGATGGCTTTTAGCACTAATTGTGTTAGGTGTTTTCCTAAGCACTTTATTATCTAACACAAAAGCACTTAGGTTTGCATCACTAACAAATGAGGAACAGGCTCTAAGGTATGAAATGCCTTGAGCAAGGCCCCAGCAAGTGAAGTAGATAGAACCAGGAATGTCACACCTGCTGATGAAGAAAGGTGCAAAGACAACCACAATGGCTGCTCAGGCTAGCTTGGAAGAGACATGTCTAACAAAACTTCTTCTTTTTTGAGATATTTTTACTCAGAAACAATCTTATTTTGCATATCAATCCCAGTTCCCTCTCATTCCATTTTCCCATACACCCCACTGACCTCCCCACAACCTCCCATTAGCAAATAAAATGTAAAACATATGTAACAGGGTAAATAATACCTCTGAAGAGTTTTTTTTCCTGTCTTCATTATTTATTGATTTTAATTTTTTAAAATTTAAATTAGAAACAAGCTTCTAACAAAACTTCTAGTAAAAATAGTGAAAACTTCCATTTATCTGATTTATTTCTGCTGGGGCTAGTGAAAGGCATTAGGGAGTCTATAGCTTACTGTGTGTGTGTGTGTGTGTGTGTGTGTGTGTGTGTGTGTGTGTGTACTTGTAACCTCTAAACAGGGCTGGAATGTAGCTGAGTTGGTAGAGTGCTTGCATGAAGACATGCATTTGATACCCAGTGGTGTGTAAACTGGGTGTTGTGGCAATACACCTGTAATTCACTCAGGAAGTAGAGGCAGGAGGATCAAGAGTTAAAGGTCTTCCTTGGCAACACATTGAATTCAAGGCCAGTCTGGATGAGACTGTCTCAACAATTAAAAGAACCTCAAACCAAGTGTATTAACACTTTTGACATAAAATCCATGAACCTTCTGACTACCTCTGTTTCTTTCAGGAACATTTTTCATTAGGATTCAGTATCAGAATGAAAGGGATTGAGAGAAACCAAAACCAAAACTGTTTCTGTCTGCTCCCACTATGAATTTTGGATATGCAAATGAATGTTTATATAGGACCAATCTGTTTTCTTCAAGTGAGTGGCCACTTCTTCATAGTTCTTGGAATTGGTTTGCAGAGCCCACTAACAAGACCTTTGTAGTAGAATGCAACATCTTCCTTTAGCTTCATTTCCTGTCACTTTGACTGCTACATCCTCAAACCACCAACCTCTCAATTTCCTAGATGCTGAGCCATCTTTACATTATTTCTGTTGCTTTGCATCAGCTGGCTCACTCCCTTGGGCACCCTGAGCTAGGAGATCCTGGAACTCTTGAAGCTGATCTATATGTACCATGAGTAGGATGTGTGGCACTCATGTCATTATTCCAGCCTGCAGCCTGGGGAAAGTACTCAAGCAAGCCTGTGGTTTGTGGGGACAACTGAGCCACACCAATTATGTGTAAGTGTAGGCAAGTGACCTACTTCAACTATGTCCTAAGGATTTATCAACTGTCAGTGTCCTCTCCTTTCTTCAAGAGCCAGATGAAGGCCCCTTAACAGCCAGATGCTGGGGGCTGTAAGGGGAACTGAGACCGTCACTGTCCCAAAAAACTGGTGCAATTTATTCGTTTATAACTATGATATCCAGTTCACCCTAACAGGAAATTCAAGTCTCTATTCTATTCTTTCTTGTTCAAATAGACACATTGAACCAATTACCATCTTTCTCTGGTTTTGTCTTATTATGGTTTTGATTCTTTATTCTCTCATCACACTGACACATTCTTAGCCTCTGGAGAATTAAAAGAAATGTTAATATTAATTTTGGTTTCCTGATTATATCTTCCAGCAGGCAAAAGGTCCTTTTGCATACAAACACTGAAGGCAGGAAAAGTTAAACACACAGCTTCTCTCTCCAAAGGGAGAAGATAATTGACCATTCTTCTGGAATGCTGGGGGGAGATGTAGTTTACCACCCAGTAATCCTTTGCAACCTGCTGAGCAAGGTTCCACCCATATTCCAGAATATGATGTTTATCTCAGACTTCCCCTACCCCCCAAAACTTGAGCATTGTTTCTAGGCCATAACACTCACAAATGGTGTCATTTATACTTTACAATAGCCTAAGTGACTTCTATGCTATCGTAGGGCCAGATCAAGTTGTGACTCCCACAAGCATTGTTTACCATAGTCATTCTCCATAAATCCTTGAGCATTGTTTCTAAGTCAACAAGACCCATCTTTATGAAAGAAACCCTATGTACTTTGTTAAGAGCTTCCTATGTAAACGTGTCTTGAACTGTGTTGTACTCACAGGACGGAGTTATCAGAAAATCCCTTTTTCCAAAATCATGCTGGGCTTAAATATGGCTAAAATAAATGAACAGGTGTCAGACTATGGAGGTTTTGGTCCAGCATTGGTGTTGAAGTAGGGATGAATGGAGTTCCATTCTTGTCTCTTCACGGACTGTTTCTCTGCCACCCAGATAGCCTGAAGTCAATATGTTTAATAAATCAACTACTCTCATGATCTATAAACTATTCCTGTGGTGTTTCTGAGTATGTTTTGAGTTGCAAAGGTTTTGTTAATTTGCTGAATTGCTATGTCTATTAGCATCTTGGTTAGTGTTTCTATCGCTGTGATGAAACACTGACCAAACAAGTTGGAGAGGGAAGAGTTTATTTGGCTTACACCATATCACTGTTCATTATTGAAGAAAGTCAGTGCAGGAACTTAAGGAATCTGGAGGCAGAAGGTGATGCAGAGGCCATGGAGGAGTGCTGTTGCTGGTTTGCCTAGCCTGCTTTCTTATAGAAATCAGGACCATCAGCCCAGGGATGGCACCACCCACAATGGCTAACAAAGGCAATATCCCAACAGGCACTAATTACATATAAGCTTGCCTACTGCCCAATTTTATGGAGGCATTAATTGAGGTTCCCTCCTCTTAGATGACTTAAGCTTGTGTTAAGTTGACATAAAACTATCCAGCACAATTAGTATTCAAGCAATGTCTTTAAATTTCCATAGCAATCAAGTAAGACACAAAGGCTAAGTATTTAAAGATTATATTTAAGTACAATGTCACATATAACCAGTTTATTTAACAACAGTTTAATGACTATTAGTTGAGAATTCAAAACAGCATGCTATGGCATTAAAATATGCACAATTTATCCACCACCCAGTAGCAATTAGCTTACATTTAGGAGATAAAGTAACTCAGGGAAAAGGAACAACCTGAAGGACAATAAGAGTTAGAGGTAGAGGATTTTAACCTAAAACATTCAAGAAAACCACAATATGAAATAAAAGTATCTCCACAGCACAGACAACAGCAGAAGACCAAAAAAATTCCCTGCATCTTGTTTTCTACATTTCATCTAAAACAGATTCCACAGGTCTTCTAAATCCCAAATCTCTCATTTACCACATGACACTGTGACCTGGTGAAAGTGGGTGACTTGTTTAAGTTAATGTAGGCTTAGAGCTACATACCAGATTTTTGGGCTGTCTAGTTAAGCACAATCACATTTTCCATGCATTGTGAAAACTCTGTAATACCCAAATCAGAATTACCAGCATGACACAATAGAGCTTATCTTCACCCTAAGTCAACATTTATGTATTAGCTACTTAAACCTGATATAAAATTTTACCATCTGATATGACAGACTTTGAAGATCCCACATGGAAGGCCTCCCCCTCCCTGGGGAGCAGAAAGAGAATGGGATAGGGGGTTAGTGGGAGGCAGGGTGGAGGGGAGGGAGAGGGAACCAGGATTGACATGTAAAACAAGCTTGTTTCTAATTTAAATTTAAAAAAATAGAAAAAAAATTACCATCTGAACCAAAGTGCTCTCCACTTTCTTATGGCTACAATGCTATGGTTTTATTATCTGGTATGATACTGTACTTCAACTAAAAGGTTCCCACACTAGTTATGGCTATTAAATATCTACATTAGTATGACATCTGATTATTATTAACTAATTAATCAAGATGAAGGTGCCAGTGAAAAGTTCTCTCATGTATGAGTCCTCTGATGTCTTGTAAGGTTTGTACTCCTACTGAAGGCTTTTCCACATTCATTACACTGGTAGGGTTTCTCTCCTGTATGTATTCTCTGGTGCACTATAAGGGATGAATTCTTAATGAAAGCTTTTCCACACTGGTCACATTCATAGGGTTTTTCACCAGTATGAATTCTTTGATGCTCAATAAGGTAGGCGCTTTGGCTGAAGGCCTTTCCACATTCAGTGCATTCATAAGGTTTCTCTCCAGTGTGTATAACCTGATGTACAGTTAGAGATGATCTCCCAGTGAAATGCTTTCCACATACCATACACTCATAAGGTTTCTCACCAGTGTGAATTCTCCGATGCTGAGTAAGAGAAGAATTCTTACTAAAAGCTTTTCCACACTGGTTACATTCAAAAGGCTTCACTCCAGAGTGAAGTCTCTGATGTTCTATAAGATATGTGCTTTGACTAAATGATTTACTACATTTGTTACATTTGTAGGGTTTTTCTCCAGTGTGATTTCGCTGATGCAGAGTGAGAGTTGAGCTTTTACTGAAGGCTTTTCCACATTCACTGCACTCATAGGGTTTTTCTCCGGTATGACTTCTCTGATGAACGATAAGATGCATGCTTTGACTGAAGGCTTTTCCACATTCATTACATTCATAGGGTTTTTCTCCGGTATGAGTTCTCTGATGAACTGTAAGATTCATGCTTTGTGTAAAAGCTTTCCCACAATCGTTACATTTGTAGGGCTTTTCTCCAGTATGAATCCTTTCGTGCTGAATAAGGGATGAATTCTTACGAAAAGCTTTTCCACACTCTTTGCACTGATAAGGTTTCTCTCCAGTATGAGTTCTCTGATGGACAGTAAGGTTCATACTCTGACTGAAGGCTTTCCCACACTCATTGCATTTGTAGGGTTTTTCTCCTGTATGAGTCCTTTGATGTACAGTGAGGGAGGAACGTTCAATGAAGTGCTTGTCACACACATTGCATTTATAAGGTTTCTCCCCAGTGTGAATTCTCTGGTGCTTAAGTAGAGATGAACTCTGGCTGAAGGTTTTCCTGCACTCGTCACATTCATAAATTTTCTTTCCTACAAACATTCTTGAAGTTTTCATTAACTCGGAATTTTGTTTAGAATCTTTTCCATTTGAATTCCAATTATAGGGTCTTTTTGTCAAAGGAATGCTTTGCGTATTAAGCATTGAACCTTCAATGGAACATTTTTCAGTTTTATTACCTCCACATACCCTCTTCTCATTAAAGGTTTCCTTTTGGGCCACTGCCACTTGGCCCAGATATCTTTCCTCTTGCCCCTCTAACCAACAAGAGGGGTCCCAGACAGCCCCTAAAGCTGAATGCCAGAGATCTTCCCTTTCCATTATGACCCCATGGGGCAAATTTTCAATAATGTTGGACTTTGGAGTTAACTCTTTGGTTTCAAGTCTTGCCTCCCAGCCTGAAAAAAAAGTAAATAATTCAAATGCATACTGATTTCTGTGCCGAGTGACGAGAAACTACATAAAGGAGAATAAGAGAATAAAGGTAGAATAACTGTTAAGTGCAGTTAAGACATTTTGAAGTATTTCCGAAATTCTTTACAGAAATCGAAATGTGTAGAACAGTGTACCAGTCCACAGAAAACAGAAGAACCAAGACAATGGAAGATCCACTGGATAAATAGAGAGAAGGGATTAGCTTATCCAAGAGAGATGGATGGATCAGTAATGAATATAGAACTAAGAGAAAATGCAAGGAAAAGACTGGCTGGGGAAAACAGATCAGAGTGATATACTATGATAGTTAGTATGAATTTTCAACCTGACAGAAAGCAGAGTCACCTGGGAAGCGAATCTCAATGAAGGATTATCTAGATTGAGTTGAACTGTGGAAGATTATTTTAATTACATTAATTGATGTGAGAAGGCTCATCTGGGCCTTCTCTTGGGCAGAGGATCCTGGGATTATGGGAGTAGCAAAAAGCACCCAAAGAGGTTCCTTCATGTGAAGACTCAAAGTCATTTAAAACAACTTCCTAGCAAATGCTTCTCCAGGACTAGTACACAGCAGCTGGTACAGATCATGCTCCTTCTTGAGCTGGGGCAGAGCTTGGCAGCTTCATCTATATCCTAGTGTTGAAGGTATGAAAGATGCAAGATGGGGGGTGTGGGAATAAGGATTTTAGCAGAGGCCAGGAAGTATATGGCAAGGTCAGTCTCTGCATAGAGGCTTCAATAGACTATTGTGTGAAACTGTGAAAATGAACTCTCCATTATAGTGGAGACCATAGAATACTGGAGATGCCAGGATTATGGGGTATCTGCCAAGGTGAGGTGAAAGAATGAAGTAGAGTTGGCCTTGTGGTGAGGGGGAGAGAACAAGGGAGAAAGTGTGCGTGTGTGTGTGTGTGTGTGTGTGTGTGTGTGTGTGTATGTGTGTGATGCAGGCAGCAGCAAAGCTGGAGAGGTGGATACCTAAATCACACAGAGCCCAGAACATTACATTAAGAGCTTCAGATATCACATAGGATTTTGGTTTGCTTTGGTATGATTATTTTATGCCCTGCTTACTCTGTGTCCTTATATGTTGGAAATATACCTTTAAAAAAAATAGTGCTCACAATGAAGAGACTGGACTTTTAAGGTATTGGAATTGTTAAATACAATGGGAACTTTTAAAGTTTGATTAAATATATTTTATAATATAGTAATGAGCCTGTGGGGACAAGGGGTAGAAGGTTATGGCTTAAAATTGATTTGTTTTGTTATCAAATTGACAAGAAGGGTTATTGTTAGGGTTGATGTTGTTGACTTGACAGACTCTAGATTTATCTGGGAAGGAAGCCTCAATGAAGGATTGTTAGGTTGGGTTGGCTAAGGACATACCCATGGGGGATTATCTTGATTTCATTAATTGATGTAGGAAGACCCATATTGATTGGATGGGATCACTGCCTGGATGGGAATCCTTTATAAAAAGGAGATAGCAAGCTGAGTACTAGCAAGTATACATTCATTACTCTCTGCTTCGTCACCATGCATGCAATGTGACCAGTTGTCTCAGGCTCCTGCCACTGTGTTTTCTGTGCCCTGGTGGACTGTAACCTGGAAATGTGAGCTGAAATAACATCTTTCTCCCCCATGTTGCTTTGTTAGAGCAACCAGAAAAGAAACCAATATACCTATCCATCTGGCATTCCTACTAGTAGTTTCTTTCCTCTCATAAGCTTGCTTAGAACTCCACACCAAATTAATTTAATGAAGTGTGAAAGGATTGCTGTCCCTTGAGTCACACATGTGAGTTTAAACTGTGGATTTTAACACCTTAATGATTTGCTTGTTTCTTTTGATTTGAGTTTTCAGATAAAGAGGATAAAATGACAAGGAGTAAGATCCTAACTATCTGTAAACTACCATCATCTACAACATAAGTAACAGATCACATCTGAAGCTCATCACTCTGAGAGGAGGAGGAGGAGGAGGAGGAGGATGCAGTCTTAAAAGCTTTTCTCTTTAACCTGTAAACAGTGTTCTGCTCACAGATGTAACAGGCCTAAACCACACTACTCTCTCCTAAGTTTTCTTTCTGTGAAGTTGAGAACTTGTGAAGAGGATCTGTTGAGCTTCTAGAGGTAACTGCACAGAAGAAAGAACCAGGAGTCTCTCAGGTTCATAAGACCCCAAACAAATTGGCCTGGAGGCAGTGAGGAGAGAGGACAGGGAACTGCAAACTAAGAATCAGCTGTAGGACTGCTGATCAGTCAGTAGAGCAGAGACCAACACAGCACACAGTAAATCGAAGGCCTTGAAGCAAGAAATAAAAATAACAGCTTCTCCCTTCCAAGCTGACCTGCTTTAATGGAAAGAAAAATGGTAAGTCAACCAAAATACATGTCCCTAATTAACTCTGGAGAGAATGTCTATCTAGTGGTTTCAGCAAGCAATATATGAACTGGCAGCCCTCTCTTGTCCCAGGTCACTCTGGCCGCATCCAGTTATCCAGTTAACATTCTTTCAGAATAGTTGAATTGTTACTCAGAATCCAACAAAAAGTTCAGGGGAGAATCCATTAGCACAGATAGATGGCAATGCTGTAAAGAAGAGCCAGGAAAGGGAATGGTGATAGCTAATCTTGGTTGTCAACTTCACACTGGGTCACTTTCTTCATGGAAAAGGCATGTCCACTTTGTCCTTACTTGTAGAGTCATTGCATCTATGGTAAACATTACATTCTATGGTAAACATTAGAATGTAATAGTTGTTCATCTCTAGAGTAACAGTAGAATGTATTAGCATTTGTGGAAGGTACCTAGACCTTGAAGAAATCAGAGTAGAGAACAGTGATTGTTTTCTATGTTTTTTTCTGTTTTATTCTTATTATTTTAAAAACAATATTATTTTATGTACCAATCCCTGTTCCCTCTCCCTCCCTTCTATTTTCTATGACTTTTAGAGATGTTTTTTCTCTGAGGAAGGTTTTCATCCGTTGTATGACTTTGGTCACAAGATTATCCAGGCACACTTGGAATGTCTTGAATTCTTGGGTACTGTAAACACCACACAATAAGGACTAAAGGTTACAAGCTGTGATGATTTCCTTCAGAGAACACATATAATAGATAAAAGGGGCTTTTGTATGAGGAATTTGTTGTACCCCAAACACAACCTTTGTATACAATCAATAAATATGCTTCTCATTGGAGGTTCGAGGTTCAGTTCACAGAAACTTTCCTCCCTGACGCCAGAGAGCCTAAAATTACATTCTGGAGTGACTCTCCTTCTTTGACTGTCACATGCAACACAGAACATGCAACACTTACTGGAATAGATAACTTATTCTGATTATGGGTTTGCCTTTCCTGCATGGAACGCCTCTGCCAAAGCTATCATCTGTAGACTGACAGATGCTTTCTTCACCATCATGCATTCCATATAGCATTGCATCTAACCAAGGAACTCACTTCACAGCCAGAGAAGTGCAACAGTGGGCCTATGCTCATGGAATCCACTGTTCTTTATCATGTTTTTCATCATCCTGAAGCAGCTGTCCTGATAGAATGGTGGAACAGCCTTTTGAAGATACAGTTATAGTGCCAATTAGGTGGCAGCAGCCTGGATGGCTAGGACAGGGTTCTCCAGAAGATGGGATATGCTTTGAATCATTGTCCAATATACAGCATAGTTTCTCCCACAGCCAGAATCCAGGAAAGAAGGGGTCCAGGAAAGAAGGGGATGGAAATGGGAATAGTTCCCTCTCTATCAACCCTAGTGACCCATTTGAAAAATGTTTGCTTCCTGTTTCCATGACCTTAAATTCTGCTGGCCTAGAATTTTTGGATCCACATGGAGTAGCACTCCTGCCAGGAGATACAATTAACATTCTATTGAACTGTAAGCTCAGATTTCTCCCTAGCCACTTTGAGTTTCTGGTCCCCTTAATCTCAGATTACCAGGGAGAAACTGGATTGTTTCTCCACAATGGAGGTAAGGAAGACTGTGTCTGGAGTATAGGAGATGCTTTAGGGTGTCTCTTGGTGCTACCATGGTCTGTGGTTAGAGTCACTGTGAAACTGCAACAGCATAAGCCAGGCAGGATGACAAAGGGTCTAGACCCTCGGGATGAAAGTAGGGATCACTCCTCCAGGAAAAGAACCAAGACCTTCTGAGGTACTTGCTGGGGACAGAAGAAATACAGAATGGGTAGTAGAGGTAGTTATAAATAAATACCATCTAAAGCCATGTGACAGAAAAATAAATTACAACTGACATGAGTGTTTCTGTCCTATTATGTTAAGAATGAGTTTGTGTCGGGATGTAAAAACACAAAAACAAAGGAATGAGTTTGCGCATACATACATACATACGTACATACATATATATATTCACATTAAGTGACATTTGTGTTCCTGTTTCTTTATCATGTAATGTAATATCAACTGTGATAATATTAATGGTTACTGCATTTAAGTTATAAGACACTAAAAGACTAATCATTCCTCTAGGGATATTGCCACCTATAATACATTTACAATTGTACATAGGGTAGTTATAGCATATTAGGTGGAATTAAGACCTCATTATTGTTTTCATTTGGAAACTGGCCATGACATAAGGAGATGTGATTGTGTGTCAAGTTGACAAGGATGGATTTGTGATGGCTAATCTTGGTTGTCAACTTGACTATATCTGTAATAACTAAAACCCAAACAGCTGGGTATGTCTATGGGGGATTTACTTGATTGAATCCTTCACCCCAAATCTGGGTCATCTGAAATAGGAAGACTCACCCTAAATATGGGCCACACGTGGTGTCAGTCTACATAAAGCACATGGGAGAAGGAAGCTTTTGCTTTTGCCTGCTTGCCCTCACTCTCACTAATAGT